AATGCTCTCACCTTTGGCTTTGGTGGAATGTTGGGCTTAGCTGCCTCCTTCTTCTTCGGACAGTCTTTCAAAATATGTCCCTCTTCATTACAACCAAAACACATCCTTTTGTTGTTCGTATATTCATTGGCAAAATGTCCAACCTTTCCACACTTGTATCAAGTTACATCCTCGCTACATTTCCCGAAGTGCTTTTTCTTACACTTATCACACCACTTCGCTTCCCCTCCTTTTCCCCCACCAAACCTTTTCGAATCAGATTTCGAAAATTTTCTTTTCTTACCGGAACCAGATGTTCCCTCAAAATTCCTCTTCTCACCAACCTCAACCTTGTTGGTGGTTCTCCCCTTTTATCATGTTCTCAACAGACTTGGCAGCCCAGATAGCTGCCTCTAAAGTATGTGCTTGACGTACTGGCACCTCATACTCCCATGGGAGTCCCTTCGCATACCGGTCCACCTTTGTCAGCTCGTCTATAACGATACGCAAGGCAAACTCCATCTTATCGGTGAAGTTATTGGTGTATTCATCAATTGTCATGCCGTCTTTCGTTAGTGTCAGAAACTTGTTCTCCAGCTCCAATAGATTTTGAGCCGAGTAGAACTTGCGTTTGAACTGCACCAAGAATTCTGCCCATGACAATTGCAGTGGCTCATTTGGGCTCAAAGTCTTCCCTAGAGTGTTCCACCAACGAACGGCTCCACCTTGGAACTGACGCACTGCATAGATAGTCTGCAACTTGCCTCTGCAGCCACAAGTCATGAAGGCTAACTCCATTTCAGAGATCCAATCCATCACTCCTATCGGATCCTCTTTTCCATTGAAGGTCGATGGTTTGCAAGTTAGAAAGTCCTTGTACTTGCATCCCATTCCATCATTCCTTCCATCCTAGTTGTCTCGCCTAACTATCGGTGGGTTGGCTTGACCAACAGACCCACTAAAGTTTCCACCTTCCGAGTGCCCTTCATTTAATTCAGGCTCTTCCACACGAATTGACAGTTCTTCAGGATTCTGTTGAAGCAACCGTCTAGTTTCATCCATCTGACGATCCAGCATTGTTTGAATCATCATTTGCACACCAACCATTGTTATTGGCTCGGGTGTTGCTGCTACGACAGGTCTTTGCTCAATCACTGGTGGTTGATTCCTGTTTTCATCAGCATTTCCAACTCCACTTCTTGTTCTCACCATTTTTGATCTACACACCGGATAAGGTGAAATTAGATCCTCATTCACGATAGATATTCAAATCATCATTATCACTCCGAAACGATTACAGGCTAGTTCTAATATCGTAGACGTACGCTTAGAATCCTACACACATAAAGTTTCTAGATCCGGTCGGCAACAGACCATAGATACGAACAAATAATATCATATATGGCAACATATAACATTTAGCACATAAAGCTTTTTAGGCAACTTTCCTAAAATAGACTAGTGCTCGTGTCTAAAATATAACAGACACACATCACAAAATTTCACTTAGCATTCTAAGTTTAAGTCTAGAAATCCTACAAATTCCTAGTTCGCTTAAACTAATGCTCTGATACCAACTGTGACATCCCCAAAATCTCGGCCAGAAAAGACCGATTTTCATTTATGCTTTTAAAATAAATTAAGAGTAAATCCTTTTGATTTGAAAGAGTTGCGGAATTTGTTCCCAAAAACAAAACATGATAAAACAATGTTTACCAAAGCATTTCATAAAAGAAATGTATTTTTCATTATATAATCAAAACTCGGGGTGTCATGTTCCGATATAGACCAATAAGCATAAACGATAACATTACAAGTCATTCAACAAATATATACATATACAGACTTGTAAACAAAACAACTTGATGGTTCATCCATCTTACGCCCTTGTGCCACTTCCTATAATACAAATAAAACTGAGTGGGTCAGGCTTGGGAGCCTGGTGAGTGTATAGGGTTTTCAACCCACAATAAATAATTAAATTAATTATTATCAACCAACAATAACCCAGTTACCCATTCCCGTTATTCTCACTTTATCCCTAAAATAACTAACACAAGGGACCTAATCTAAGAATATTTTCATCGGGGTGACAACACATGCTGCGGGGTTCCTCAGCAATATAAGTCAAATAAGGCAACCATGAGGGGGATGGAATACAGCGAATGAACACCCAAGTTCATTAACACCTACAGGTTATGAGCCTGCTAGCGTTCCACTGGACTGTCTAGAAAAGTCGTGGTCGTCATCTAAATTCCGCTAGATGACTGGATCAAAACAACAACGAGGCCTCTCATCTGTTTATTACACACCAACTATCTACCCATGTTCTACCCAACATATTAGTAGATAAAAACATACATTTTTATACATATTTTCAAAACCTGTATAGCATGCTTGATCAATACATTTTCCATATAACAGATGAGGCACACACACATAACACGTATTTCATATAGAAATAATCAGATCTGTAAGATAGAAGAAAGTGAATATACATTCACACACATAACAACAAAATATACACATAACACGTATCTCGTATAAAATACTTCATAATTATACGTTAGGAGAAAGTAACAACGCATTCACACGTATAAACGACAATAAACTTAATACACTCAAACCATACTTGTATTATTATTGCGTTTATGAAAGGTAGTATACACTCACTTGATCAGAAGATGATCGGACAACACTACGTCTTGCAAAAGTAGTAATCCTCAGCAGATCTGGAAGATCTCTACAAAAATCGAACTTCTCGTGGGCAGAGCTTCGGCTCGGAAACCGCACTTCTCGGGATCTCGGGACTTGCTTCGGGACTCGGGAATATTACCGGGGCTTCGGGATGGCTTCGGGGGTTTACGCGCAGAGCTTCAACACAAAAACGAGAGGAAATTAACAAATAAACCCGGAATCCTCGCATCCTATTTATAGGAGGCTGGAGCCTCGGAGTACGCAGGGCGTACAACAGTATGCGGGGCGTACTGCTCCGAAATTGTAAGCGAATGTGTCATTCGAAGTCCTCGAGTGCGAATGTCAACATCTTCGCTGTACGTGGGGCGTACTCGAGTACGCTGGACGTACTCCGGATGAGTCCGGTGACTCGTCTTCGGATAAGGCCGTGGTTTAATAATTAATTTAATTATTAATTATTTAATAAACTTCGAAAATTCATATCTCCTTCATACGAACTCCATTTTCAATGTTCTTTATATCCACGCGAAGGTAAGACTACGCTCTACAACTTTTGTTTAGACTCCGTCGGCTAATTTTGACTTTATTTTTATTATTTATTTTTAATAGGCTGGGACAGAAAATTTCGTTATAAATTCATAACTTCTTCGTTTGACGTCCGTTCTCGCCTAACTTTTTATCGCTTTGATACTAACAACGAGATCTTCAATTCTCGTTTAGATCACTAAGGCTAAATATCGCTCTAACGTAAATTTCACTTTTTACGTCATTCAACGGTGCCGATTCTGTCACGAAACTTCGACAGGTCATAACTTCCTCGTTATAACTCGGATTTCGGCATTCTTTATATCTTCGGAAACCTTGTTTCAACTACTACAACATTATCTAAAGATATCGAGTTTATTTTACACTTAAATTTTGATGCTAATTTTTATTCTTAATTAATCAAACCACATAATTAAGCAATTAAGCACAAAACACATAATACTCAAATAATACAATCTTATTATTTCAAAACGGGTTACAAAGGTTAACCTAGACCATTACATTGCTAAAAATGGCAAGCCCGGAAACACAGGATTTACAAAATCAAAGCTTCAACAGTCACATGTGTAAGGGAGCTTCTACTTTCATCAATCACCCTCCCGCTAGTAATGAATGTCGACTCTGATGTAACTATAGAGATCATCATTCCTAAAACAAGTTTCACCACTTCAGAAAGTACAGTTTACTTTATTGAATTAGATTTCCAACGCCCCAAAATCTGGAAATCCTCCCCTGTTTTTCCATCCCATCTGATAAATAAGTCTCAAGCTCTGTTTTATTAACCCCATGCCCACGTTGTTCTATAAACCTTTCAAAATCATCTTCCATATCAACTTCATGCCCAAAATCAAAATAACTAGGTGTAGAAGACGATGCACTCCTTGCCTTTTCACATCTTTCTCTCTCCTACTTGTTCTTGAAATCTTGAAACAAGTCCTTTAGTGTTTTGTTGACATGCTCCCGAATAGTTTTTGTTTTGTTAGAATTATTACCATAAATCAACTCTAAGCAATACTCCAAATAACACATCTTGTTGCGGGGATCTAAAACGACATCAACATGAAGCATGAAGTTCATGTTCTCAATGTTGTCCCAATATTTGTCGTATTTTTCTTTCATTGACGTTTCCATCCTTTTCTTTTTCTCGTTTATGCTTGAAAACATTCTAGTTATGCTTGCTTGCATTGTCACAAGTTCCTTAAAAAATATTTTTGTTGTCATATACTTGGACCCAAATATCTTTTTCGTGACATTGTAAAAGATCCTCATATAGTTGATAAAACACCTACCAAAACAATTAGGCTATGTTTGACGTACTAGCTGAAAAGTTGGTTGTTAGCTGAAAAGCTAGTTGATAGCGGAAAAACTATCTGTTAAATAAACAGCAAGCTGATAGCTGAAAAGCTAGCTGATAAAAAATAACGATTGGTAAAACTAGCTGAAATATATAAAATTACATAAAAGAACATGTAAGAATATGTGTTTCTATAATTAATTAAGGGGTGTATTTGGAAAGAGCTTCTAAAAAGGTAGTCTAAGTAGCTTTTCAAAAAGCTATCTTATAAGCTACTTTTTGGCTTACCAAACACGACAACATAAAAAAGCTCAAAAAATAAGCTAGCCGTGGCACGCCAAACATAGACTTAAACAATATCAGATGTCACAATTGAAGTGTGTGTGTGTGTGTGTATATATATACACACACACACACACACTTAGCAACATCCCAATCGTCGGCATCGGGAATCCCCACAACTTTCTTATTTTTTTTCTCGTAGTCACTTCACCATCATCAACCTCACTTCCGCAAAAAGTTTTAAAACCATTATCAATCGCACAAAGCCTATAATGCAAAATAAAACCCAATAAAAACATTAGTATGTAAATTATATAAAGAAAGTTAATATAACATACTTAATAGTATATAAAATACCTATCAAACGCCGCCTCATACTTTCTGCCGTCTCTAACTTCAAAAATGTAGAATTCCATATTGTGTCAACATCAAGGGATGGTTTCTTACTACAATTAATCTTCACTTTCTCAACATACTCTTGGAATGTAGCAAACCTAGCACCCGAGGACCTCACATACTTCGCAACAATTTCAGATCTTTGTGATGGAACTAAAATGTTCTTCTAAGTCGTCCCTAACCACAAGATTTATGATATGAGCACAACACCTCAAATGCAAGTATTTGCAATCCAAAAAAGCATGGGGTCCCTTAAGCATGGTCGCTAGATACCTAATTGCCCCATCATTTGAGGAAGCATTATCCACAGTCACTGTAAACACCTTCTCAATTCCCTAATTTTGTAAGCATTTGTAAACAAGTTTTCCTATGGTTACACCTTTGTGATTTGCAATGGGACAAAAGTTCAGAATTTTCTTTCTTAAAACCCACGTCTCATCAACCCAATGTACCATTAAACAACTATAGTTAATGTTTTGGATGGATGTCCAAGTATCAGTTGTAATGGAGATGGTTTGATTTTTTAAAACATCCTTCAGTTTATACATTTCTTCTTTATATATCTGCAAACAATCCCTTGCGACAGTCCACCTTGAAGGCAATTTAAATAGAGGTTGCAAATCCCGTGAATATTCCCTAAATCCTTCATCTTCAACTATACTAAAAGGTTGACTTTCTTTAATACACATGCGGACTAAGGAATTCCTACATTTCTCTTGGCTAAAGGAATGAACTTTCAAAGAAGTAGCCTCTGAGTCTCCCATTTTTTTTAAAACTCAACACAAATTGTTTTTTTGTATCACCAAGTTTACCTTTAGGGTCGTAAATAGGAGATTTTGGACAATAGAGTCTTGAAATGACTTCCCATTGCAATCATACCATTTTTCTTTGAATTTTCACACATCATTGTTGGACAATATGGGCATTTCACTTTCTTAGCACCCTTCTTTACGTCCTCTCGATCAAAATGTTGCCATACCCAAGATACTTTATGACCACCACCCTTATTATCTTCAACTTCTTCATCGTCTCCTTCATCAACATCAACAGTTTGTCGAGCATCAACATCAACAGTTTGTGCATCTAGTTGAGACCTTTCCATCTACATAGAAAAAAAATTCAATCAACATCAACAGTTTCTGGCATTACCAAAAAAATTATGTTTTTAGGTCATACAGGAACAATATTTCAGCATCAGAATGACAGAATTCATTACCAAACAGCCAATATTGCAACATTATAATTCATAAGCAAATAATAAAAATATTACAGCAACCAACCAATATTTTAGCATCAAACATTTTGGCAGCAAAGCAACAAGTATGGGGATGAACAATGTAACACCTAAAGTTTGGAAAGTCAAGAAAATAAAGAAAACCCCAATTTTTAGGGGAAACTCGGCGAGTCCAAGGAGGGACTCGGTGAGTCCGAGCGGGATCCGGGTCGAGGTGTAAGCGACCGACTCGGCGAGTCAGCCAAGGTGACTCGACGAGTCTGGTCTGAGCAAAGAGAACCCTAAATCTCCGGGTTGTTCACTATTTAAGCAATTATATGTACCCCAACTCGCCTCCTTCACCCTCATAGAGCTTGTGAGAAGCCTTAAACCATTCATTGTATGATTAAAGTGTTTTAGTGTGGATTTTTGAAGGATTGAAGAAGAAGAAGAAGAAAGGACCTAAAAGAGGAAGTGTAGAGCAAAGATCCAAGGCCAAAGTCAGAGTTCATTGAGGTATGTCCCGGAATTATCCTGTTTGTGCCTAAAACCTCCATTAGAACACCTCTAAGGCTAGTTTAATGTATTTTCCAAGCTTTATAGTTGATTGGATGCCTTATTGGGTCGAGATATCCCTAGATCTGTTCATTTAAGAGTTGTAGAGCCCTGATCTATCTCATTTTCGAAGTTTCCTTGCATGAGAACCTTAGATCTAGCCTTTATTATGTCTTTTGAGCCTTTTTAATCTCCATGGATGTTTATGGACACGTAAAGATAGAATATTTACGTGTTAATCGAGCATAAGAAGCCCAGATCTACAAGTTATATGCACTGGATTCAAGCAGAATCGAGTTTTTAGTATCTGCATGCTTGCGACTTGGCGAGTCGAGCCGCGAGTCCCCGATTTTTCCCCTTTGAGTGATTCCGAGTGGGGACCAGTGAGTAGTAGAATGGACTCAGTGAGCCGGAGGTTAGACTCAGTAATGGAGGGACTCGACGAGTTGTTCATACAACTCAGCGAGTCTAAGGCAATCTTCATAGATTCAAGAACAACTCGTTGAGTTGTTCATATAACTCGGCGAGTCAGATGCAGATAGCCTGAGTTTTGGAATCGAAAGGGAACTCGTCGAGTTGATGCCACACTCGACGAGTAGCAGCGAGTAGGGTTGAGAAGTGAGAGTAGGGACTCGGCGTGTTGGCGGCCCAACTCGGCGAGTCAGGTCAACTGTAAGTTAACTTTGACCGGGAGAGTTGACTTTAGCCAGGGGTAAAAGAGTCATTTTACCCCAATGCAGTTATTAGTATTTGATTGAGGGTATTTGTGGAATTGTAGCCGGGGAGATACCGGAGCAGCAACAGATAGCTTCCAGATCCATACACTCAGCAGCCAGTTCATGAGGTGAGTTTCCTTCCAGTAGGAACGGGTCTAAGGCCACAATGCCGGCCCGTTCAGTTAGCAGTAGTTTCCGGACTTCGGTCCGATGCAGTAGTTAGTATGTTTGATGCCTTTGTGGCTCAGACAGGATTATGTGTTATGTGTTCCGGGCTACGGCCCGATGCGGTATGCAGTATATGTGTTCATGCTAGTTGATATGTTATGCCATGCTATGTTCAGTCAGTTTCCGGCCTTCGGTCCGATGCAGGGGGCAAGGCCCCAGTTAGTTCGGACTTCGGTCCGATGCAGGGGATAAGGTCCCAGTCAGTTAGTCCGGACTTCAGTCCGATGCAGGGGACAAGGTCCCAGTCAGTTTCTGGACTTCGGTCCAATGCAGGGGGCAAGGCCCCAGTTAGTCCGGACTTCGGTCCGATGCAGGGGGCAAGGCCCCAGTTAGTCCGGACCTCGGTCCGATGCAGTGGTCAAGGCCCAGTATGTGCTTTATATGTTATTGTATGGTATGTGGTAGTTTGGGGGAGGTCACTAAGCTTCGTGCTTACAGTTTTAGTTTTTGGTTTCAGGTACTCAGTTTTCAAAGGAGGAGCTCGGGAAGATTACAGTGCACACACCATAGTCAGCTAGCCTGGGATGTTTTACTTTGATAATAAGTTTGTATTTCGAATTGATGCTATGAAATTATGTTATGATTTATGATACGGTTTTTATGAATATGGTTTTAGTAATGTTTTTAAAAGAAAAATTTAGTCGTGATTTTTGGGATGTTACAAACAAATATTTTAACAAGTTTGGGGATGAACATGTAATCCAATACCAGCAAAGTAACACAAAAATTGGCAATTGCAACCAAGAAGGGAGAAACTGAAAAGCAAGAAGGGAGAAATTTGAAAACGAACCTGCTAACTTGATAAGTGAGAAGCAAGGAGGAAGCATCAGAGGCGTAGCAACTTTGGAAGGGTGGGGCCAGCGGTTTGGGAATAGGGGTGAGCTCGTTGGAGCTATTGCTACTAGAGGGTTGCGTCGTCGACTTCGATCGGGGGAGGGGAGATGAGAAATATTAAGAATGACGTTAAGTGAGAAACTAAGATGGTGAGATTTGATTTCGATTTACAGATTTAGCCATTTAGGGTTGTAATATTAAATATTTTGTTTTTTTAATATATACATGGGTAAGTTTCTTGGGTTTAGATAGGTCAATTTTACGGGTTTAGTGGGTCGGTTTTTGTGTAAAAAATGAAACCGAACCCGATTGTTTAATTTTAAAAAAATGTAAACCCAACCGTTGGTTTTGCTTCTGTTTTGGTTTTTTCGGTTTCTCGGTTTCTTGGTGTGGGTTTGCTCACCTCTAGTACCTTAGGCGTACTAAGATGTACGCCACGCATAATGCTTGAGGATCGAGTACGCTAAGTGTACTGATGTTATGTTACACGTACGCACAGTGGGCCGTTGGTCAATTATTGGACTTTTATGAATTTTGGGCCTTAAATAGTTTTGGGCCTTGGTTTGTGTAGGATAGGTAGTACCGGTTTTTTTGTTGTGGGCCTTGCGTGTCATGGTTTGGGCCTTTCGGGCTGTGGAGTTCGTTATTGCGGATGGGTCGAATATGGTTAATCCCATTATGGGAAATGCGAATGGGACATATTTTAGGAGTTGGACTTAAGGTTTTTGCCCATGTTTTGGGTATGTGACCTAATTCTGATTAGGGTAATTTTTGTATATTCAATGTAAGATTATTGGATTAGTACCCGATCAATTAGTCTTTACTAGCAGACGAGGTGAGTGTTCTCACTATATCTATGGGTCGAAGGCACTAATATCGGCCCATTAATTGTTTATGTGGTTGTTTGTCTGAAATACCTCGGGGGTAGCCCGTGACACTTGTATGAAAGACCATGAGGGTATCCAATGGCATTGAGGATCATGGGGGTAGCCTATGACACTTGGATATCAAACCATGGGGGGTAGCCCATAGCATTTAGGGGGAAAAGACAATAGGGGTAGCCAATGATAATTGTTTGTATGTTATGTTGTATTTTAGGGAAACTCATTAAGATTTTGCTTACGATTTTTATTGTGGTTTGAGGTACTTCTGGTACAAAAGGGAAGGGTGTGGCTTGATGGCGCAACATTCACACTCCATTATTTCCCACACTTATTGTAACGCTCGTAGATTCGTGCTAGTCAATTTAGAGACAATGAGCATCAAAAATAACTTTTTGATGGGAGATTATTTAAAAGGAATAATGTAACGACCCAAAAATACGACCCAAAAATTTCTTTAAAAACATTACTAAAATCATATTTATAAAAACTGTATCATAAGTCATAACATAAATTCTCGAGTATTAATTCAAAACATAATATCATTATCAGAGTCAAACATTCCCAGGCTATCTGACTATGGTGTGTGTACTGCAATCTTCTCGAGCTCCTCTTTTGAAAACTGAGTACCTGAAACCAAAATTGAAAACCGTAAGCACGAAGCTTAGTGAGCTCCCCCAATCTAACACATACCATGCAATAACATATAAAGCACATACTGGGCCTTGCCCACTGCATCGGACCGATGTCCGGACTAACTGGGGCCTTGCCCCCTACATCGGACCGAAGTCCGGAAACTGACTGGGACCTTGTCCCCTGCATCGGACCGGAGTCCGGACTAACTGGGGCCTTGCCCCCTGCATCGGACCGAAGTCCGGAAACTGACTGGGACCTTGTCCCCTGCATCAGACCGAAGTTCGGACTAACTGGGGCCTTGCCCCCTGCATCGGACCGAAGTCCGGAAACTGACTGAACATAGCATAGCATAACATATCAACTAGCATGAACACATATACTGCATACTACATCGGGCCGTAGCCCGGAACACATAACACATAACACATAACACATAACACATAAATCCTGTCTGAGCCACGAAGGCATCAAACATACTAACTACTGCATCGGATCGAAGTCCGGAAACTACTGCTAACTGAACGGGCCAACATTGTGGCCTTAGACCCGTCCCTACTGGAAGGAAACTCACCTGATGCTGCTGAACTGCTGCTGCTAAACCTTTTGACTGCTACCTGGCCTCTGACTTCGACTGCTGCGCCACTAGCTCCTCGAGCTACCAATATCAATATAACACTTAGTCCAACTGACCTCCAAAGGTCACTAGGTCAATTCTGGTCAAGGTCAAAATCCTGGTCAAAGTCAACCTTCCGGGTCAACCCTACTCGCCGAGTCTACCTACTGACTTGCCGAGTTCATATGCTCAGGGTCTTTCTTATTCGCGACTCGACTCGCCGAGTCAGTCCATGACTCGCCGAGTCCAACTAGTTCCAAGTCCTGTCCTGTCCAACTCGCTGAGTCACCACCCGACTCACTGATTCGAGCCCCAACTCGAAGGGTTTAGGGTTTCGCGATCTGACTCGCCGAGTCCAAGAACAGACTCGCCGAGTCCTAGACAATCTTCAACCAACTCGTCGGGTTGCTCATCCAACTCGCCGAG